AACATCCTTTAAATGTTCAAAACGGAGTCGATTTTTCGAACAAAAAATCGAATAATTTCAGAATTTTCCGAACAATTTCAAGAGATTTTTTTTATAAGGTTAAGGATGCTCTTTAGACCTTAATAAAGAGGGAGGATTATGAGATGTCTCAAAGCCCTTCATTAATGACATCCACATGCTTTTTGTCTATATTTTTCACCCGTTAACCATCAGGGCTAATTGTGCATATACGCCCATGAATTAAAAGTTTGAAAAAGTACTACTTTTAGACAGTGATATTAAATGACTTGAAATATAATCGAAATTTATCGATCAAAATATTTGTAAACGTAATCAAAATTTGTCGAAATATTTGCAAAAAAATTAGTCGAAATATTTTGACTGTCCCTGCTTATGTCCAATAAAAATTATGGACAATATGGACATAGTCCATATTGCTCGTGCCCATATTTTGCCAACACTGAGGTGTATTAATTAAAAATTTCGGGAAGGCAATTATGCTTATATACATCTAACCTTAACTATAGGTTAAATCTAAGTATAATTCAATAAAAAATCTATTTCCCCTAAATGAGAGTCGGTGAAACCAGGCAATTGCGCATTTGGTAAACAAAGTCTGTTGTGCACTGAGGATCAATATTACCAGTCATTATTCATCTTCCTTATTTGGAACATACATTGATTAAGCGTAAATTTTCTGAAACACAATGAAAAGAAAGCAAAGAAACTGGAATTCAAATCCATCTTGAGGATAATAAAATTTTTTGAGAGTGCAATTTTGCCTATAATATCTTTTCAGTCATAAATTCAATAAATAAAACCTTAAATTTTATATACTACGCATCAGATATCTCCAAATAAGGTAATTCAAATATTTGCCCTCATTATTGATTAGCACAAGATAGGTTGTGCCCCATTCTTTACATTTTTTTACAGTTCTGTTTATCTCTTTTAATATTTAATACCTCTGATTTCAAACAGAATTCGATAATATTAAAAAAAAAAAAGTGCTAGTTAAAAACATGTCTGGTGAGTTCAAATAACTATTGTGGTTATTGTAGTTGTGATCAGTAAACTTGAAGTCTCATAACATGTTTAGATTTTCCAGAAAAAATAGAATCTTGCTATGCATTACCGTATGGTATATTTGGATTTATTTGCTGGATTTTGTCATTATTATCAAATTTTTTTATTTTATTTGGTAATTTACCACTGTTCACTCCATGGCAATGGCGTGATAAGGCTTATAAATCACAGACCTTATTATTTGCTTTTATCGCATTTCTTATGACTATTGGGCCAACCATTTTTACATGTCTACGTTGTCGTGAAGAATGGATCTTAATAGTTTTGGCTGTTGGGCAACTCTCTCCATGGGCATTCAAAATGGTAAATGATGCTGTGGCATCTAGATCAAATAATGATTTTGGCCGTGACGAATTTTACCTTGCATGTGGAATTCCTTTGTCAATTTTACTGTCTCTTACTGGATGGACCGGTCTGATAGCATTGATTATTAAGCTAGAACATACGCAATATGCAGTTAGTCGTTTGGTATTTTTATTATTTACACCATTCTTGTTTTTGATATGTATACCATATGTGAAGGGAGAATCAAAAAATGCTATTAGATTGATGATCTGTTACGTAGCTGCAACAACACATCTTATAGGAACACATTATATTCTTGGTAGTACTTCTGGAGATTTCTCTGGGCTTAAAACTTCAGGGTTTTTGTCAGCTATTATTTTCTTTGTTGGAAAACGATTACTATTTTTAGACATTTCATGTCATTGTTAAAGAAATCCCAAATTTTTTTCTATTTTCTTGCTTTCAGGCCTGAGCGTTGCTCTAGGAATGAAGGTTTTGCCTTTAATGCTAGTTTTTTTTTAATTTTGGTTTTATTAAATTATTTTAATATTAATTTTATTTTAAAGATTTATTAATATTCATTATAAATCTAAAAATAATATAAAAGACACTATTCACAACTCTTCCTAAAAATTACTTTCCTAAAACGAAATAATAATATTATATTATGAAAATTAGAACATTTTCATGTAGGCGACTTCACTACCTGGTTTTATTAATTAGAATAAGGGAATAATTATTAGAAGAATTATTTGATATTTAATAGCATCTTAAAATGTTGGATTTTTATTATCAACATCACAATATGCTTTTTTTGATCAAAAATAAGTAGTTAAATAGAAATCATAAGTACTTTAACATATTTGCACATAAATAAAATATACTGAGTTAAACACGTACTGTAAATTAGTAAAATCCATTATGTGGTTCACTTTAGGGTGAAATCCACGTTTAAATATATTTTATCATGCAAAAACAGATTCCACCCTCGCGTAGTCTACGCACATAGTTGAATTTTACTAAATCACAGCGTAAGTTTCACCCTGCTATAATAAATTACAGACCTTTAATACTGTAATTTATTATGTGAAATCTTGAGTTATTTTCCATTTTTACTTAATATTTTTAAATTTATTAACTTTCAACAGCTTGATTTATTACTTCTTCTTCGAATAAGTATATAATGATGTCATTTATTTGCAGCTCCTGGTGGCCCTCTTCACTATTTGGTAATATCTCTGCTTGCTGTTTTGTACTCATAAAGCAGCTTAGTGGAACTCTGAGTTTTTACTTCTCTACTTGATTATAGTTTTTCTGAATAAGTCTTGGGCTTATTGTTACTATGTTCCTTTTCTGGCTTTTTTTTGTACAGGTAGTGCTTTCTTCATTATTCCCTGTTATATCTGTATTACAGCCTCTACACTTATTGAGTGTAAGCGTGTTTTCTTGTAGATTGGGGGTGGTTTTCCAGTGCTTAAATATAACTGTCTTTTTTTCTCTTTTTTTCACTATTTTTCCTATCTCTGTTGTGTTAGCAGATTTAACTAGTATTCATTCTTTTTTTCTTCTGTCATTGCTTATTGGTGGGGTATCTACTTATAGTGACAGATAGTTAGGCATTTTCATTTGCAGGTCTGGCTTGACTTGCCTTTTATTGTTATTTTTTAAAACCTTTTCTTCAATTCTTTTGAACCAGTTTGGTGGTTTCCCAGTCACCTTTTGCCTTTTGCACTTTTTGATCTGGTTCTATTTAAATAAGTTTAAACTTCTCTATCTAGAATTTGTTCAAGTACTATAATACCCATCCCTTTCTCTTGTGTGAATCTTTTTATCTCTTTATCATCTAGAAGATCTATAATTTTCAACACTGATTCTATAAGTTTTAGATTATCTTCTCTCTTTTTTGATCTTATACTCAAATTCATCTCTTTAACTGCAACTATAATCTTATATACAAGGTTGTGTTTTGGCTGTATTTTTCCTAATCTTTCAATATCTAGCTCTGTTATACATGTTGTATTTTTGCAATTAATTTGAGCTTGCTGTATTCTGATCCATACTGTCTTGCCCATTTCATCATTATTATTTAGTCTTTTTCTTAGTTCTGTTATATAGTGGGCCATTTAATTCTGCCATACTGTTTTAAGTCCTACTATGTTATGATCATGTTTGCAGTCATACTTGCCAGGTCTGACTTATTTTTGATGACCTTCAACAGTGGGCTCTGTAGTCTGTCACATTGATTTCTTGAGATTATACAGTGTTGCATCCTGTATTCTAGTCTTGGGATTAATACTCTATTGTTTATATAAACTAGCTGCATGAGGGTTGTGCTCTTTTTATAAATCACTCTAACTACTGCTTGTATTTCTTTTTTGACAATGTTTATTATGTGGAAGAAATTAGACTTCTTAAATAGCCAAATACCTAAGAATCTTGTTATCTCATTGGTTTTCTTTTCTATGACTTTTTTATTTGTTATCACCACTTCTATACGTATATCTTGGGTTCTTTGTTTTCTCACCACCTATTACTAAGAGCTCTGATTTTCTGCTATTAATCTCATTATCATTTATGTTATAGAATTCTCATACTATGTTAACAATTTCCTCTAGCTCTTCTTTACTGGAGGTGATAAAAGTTGTATTATCTGCATATGCTACTACTGGTATATATATGTGTTATGAATGTGTCTTTGTTTGACTTAGGTCTTTTGGCCATTTGATTTTTAGTTTGTACCCTCTTTTTTTTTATTTTGTATCTCTGCCAGGAGTGGGTTGTAGAAGATTCTTCAAATGAGGGGTGTGATTACCTCTCCTTGGTCAATACCATCTCCTGCTATAAACCTTTCTGTTGTATCCAGGCTTGTTAAGACCTCTATTTCCCAGTTCTTGAATAGGTTTATAATGAAGTTATTTGTTATTTACGAGATCTTGATTCTCTGTAGTATTAGCTTGAGCATTTCTAGCTCTACTAAATCGAAGGCTTTTTTCATATCCTGGAAGAGGAGCTATAGCTCTTTCTTTTTTTCTTTACCTCCTCTACGATGCAATTTATAAGCTGCACTGGTGTCATAGTGCCTTCTCCTAGAAGACTTGTGAAGTTTTTGCCTTTAAAAACTCTTCTTTTCCCCAGAATTTTTGCTAATCTGTTTGTTAAAATCCTAACTACCATTTTCTAAATGCTTTAAGTAGAAGAATTGGTTATATATTATTTAGATTATAGCACCAGTCTTTAGTTTTAGATATAGGGTAGAGCATTTCTAGTTTCTACTTTTTGGGCATACTGCCTTCTCTGAAGCACCTTGATTTGAGATTTAGGAAGATTTGTCTTGTACTTTTGCCCACTACCTTAATTAGTGGGTATGATATACCTGTTGTTTCTGAAGCTAACTTGGTTTTGGCCTAGTCCATAGCCTGCTTCCACTCAGCAACACTGATCGTATTTGCTATATTTTTGTACTATATCTCCTCTATATCTTCTCTTAAAGCATACTAGTTTTCTATCTAGATAGTAGTGCTTCTGCTTGTGTTGTATTTCTCTTGCAGAATTGCTTTTTAAAGTGTTCTCTAACCTCTTTGAGTATCTCTTCTAGTTCTTGTATTAACTCTGTTTCTTCCTTTATGTTTTTTTACAATTCTATCTATTTTGATTTGCCTGTGTAGTCTATTAAGTAGGCTGTTTAGCATTTTCTGCTAATTGGTTATAATTAGGCTGTAACTTTTCTCTATATTCTTTCTAATTTCTATTTCTTCTATCTTCTTAATTTTTTGGCACTATTTTTTATGCAGAATCTTTGCCTAGTTCTTTAGACCTTCACCACTTAGTAGGTCAGCTTTACCTTCTATTTCTGCCTCTGAGTCAATTATAGTTTCTAGTCTCTCTAGTGTAGCTATAATTTTACCCTTTTCACAATCTTTTAGTACCCACTTTTTGCTTTTGTGGTATCCTTTATTATATGCTCTGACTGCTAATTTTATTGTCTTTACTTCTTTGTCTTCTCTACTATTTTGTTGTATTTTAGACCCTTTTTCCTTTTAAGAAAAATTTTATTAACTGCTAGTATGATATATTTTTCTATTATATTCTACTTATCATCTATGTTTGTAAGTTTATATCTATACCACTGATTTTTAAGTCTTCTGTCTAAATTTTCTTTGTATTTGCTTCAATCTTCTTCTGATATCTTTTCTATTTCTATACAAACTTTCTTGCACTTTCTTCATCTTATACTGGCTGTATCTGTTTTTCTCAATTCTAGCTCTGTAATAATACTTGCTTATAGCAATTTGTAATCACTCATTGTGCATACTTCCATATTATCCATTTTGGAGCTAACTATATTATATTTCTAGCTATTTGATATCCACATATAGTCAATTCTTGACTCACTACTACTATTTGACTATGTGGGTTCTTGTGTAGCTTCATATATATCGAATAAATTTTTTTCTTTGAGCAAGACTAGAATTTTTTGCTTCATTTGGTATCTTGAGTTTAGCTTACTAAAATCTTTCTTTACTAGATTAGTTGTATTAGCATTTAGGTCTCCTATGATAAGAAAGTACTGTGGTTTTTTGCTTGGTTTTTCAAAAGTTTCTTTGAGTAAGTATAAGATTTCTTTTTGTCTTGTTGTATCATTTGGAGCAATGTATAAAAAAACTATTACTATTGTAAGCTGTTTAAAGTCTAGGATTAACTTTATATAGTATAGATTATCACAAGTCAGATGAGTGATGTAGTGTTCCTAGTGCTTCTTGATTAAGATCCCAACTCCTGACCTCTTTTTCTTGTTTTTTTCCACACTTAACCAGAAGCTTCTGCACTTGTTTAAATTTTTAGTTGCAAAATTACCCTCAATATCTTCTATATTGGTTTCTTTTAGCCCCAAAATATCTATTTTTTTTCTCTCTGCATAGCCTATTACTGCTCTCAGCTTGTTTTTATTGTTTTTAATACTATTTATATTATAAAACCCTATGTTTAGCATCTCAAAATGTTCATATACCCTCTTCTATTTTCTTAGTTCTTTATAACTTTCTGTGACTAATAGAAGTTGGTTTTCCAAAGTATCTTCTGTTAACTCTCTTTCTTTCTTTTTGAACACTTTGGTTTTGTTCATGGGTATGCCTATAGCACTTTTTAGAAGCAATCAGCAGAGGCCATGTAGCTTTAATTTAAGAGATTGCTTTCTGAGTTTCGAGTTGTCTAGTTTGTTTAGGATTTGTACCAGTGCGCTAAGTATCAGGTCTTCTTTGTTTTTCCCTTTGCTTCTATATCCTGTTGCTTCTTTTCTTCTTATTGGTGTTGCAGGTGCTTGTTTTTCTTATTTTGGTCTCTTTTAGCAAGAGGTACCCTATTTGCCACTAGCTCTACATTGATACTTCTCTTTTTCTGTATGGACTTTCTCTTATTACTAGACTTTTCTG